ACATCACACACACATGAACATTACACACACATATAACAAACACATCACACATACATGAACATTACACACATATCACACATAAACATATCACATGCATGAACATTACACATACATATCACAAACGTATCATATATACATGAACATTATACACATATCACACATAATCATCACACACATGAACATTACACATACATATCACAAACACATGTACATATACATCACACACATGAACATTACACACACATCACAAATACATCACACACATGGACATTATGCACACATATCCCACACACATGCACATACACATCACACACACATGAACATTACACACATATCCCACACATGCACATACATATCACACACACATGAATATTACATACACATATCACACACATATCCCTCATACATTAACATCACAATCCTTACACACCCACACACAACGATAACAAAATCTAAAAATAAAAGAGAATTGGAGGTAAATTTGGCTCTAGAGCCTGAATCTCAAACTCCACTGCTGGTTCACAACTCTGCCTCTGAGCCCTGCCACCAGCACGGTCACCTCCGGCAGCCGCCACCCACCACGATCCCCATCTTTGTACCTGGATAAATTCAGTTCCTGAGGGTAGTGGCCACTGGGGTCTGCGGAGGTCAAGCAGGATGACAGAGGTGCCTCTCTTGGCCAGGCTGGAACCCAGGCTGAAGCCTAGGTAACCTCCTCCTCCGGTCACCAGAACTTTCTGCCTGGGGCCCTGTGTGGGTTTGGCCTGAGTCTTCTGTTGTAGCGCTGGTACTGGGGTTCTTACTGATTCACCGGGATCAGAGCCAGTCCCGGAGCCTCGTCTGGTCCCAGGCCCTAGTCCCAGCCCAGGTAATGGTGCAGATCCTGGACTAGCTACTGACTCACTTACTGGCTGAGGTACTGACCCAGCTCCTGGTTGAGGTACTGACCCAGCTCCTGGCTGAGGTACTGACCCAGCTCTTGGCTGACATACTGGTCCAGCTCCTGGCTGAGGTACTGACCCAGCTCCTGGCTGAGGTACTGGCCCAGCTCCTGGCTGAGGTACTGGCCCAGCTCCTGGCTGAGGTACTGGCGCAGGTACTGACTCGGATCCAGGCCTCAGTCCAGATCTAGTTCCTGGTCCAGGTAATGATCCTGCTCCTAGCCCAGGTCCCAGAGTAGTAGTAGGCCCTGAAGTAGTACCAGGTCGCAGCCCAGTCACAGAAACAGCACTAGGCTGCGGCCTAGACCCTGGAACAGCACTAGGTCCAGGCCCAGGTCCTGGAATAGCCCCAGGCCCCAGTCCAGAGTCCAGAACCACTCCAGGCCCTAGCCTAAGGCCTGAACCAGGCCCTAAAACAGACCCCTGGCCTGAGGTCCCTCCGCAGGCCTGGCATACAGGGCATCCCTTCTCGCCCTGGCCTGCAGTTTGACAGGTTTCTAGTGGGTAGCCCACAGGGTTGGTCTTCATTCTCTATGAAGCCATGCAGCCTAGAGGCTGTCCACCTGTGAAAAAAACCAGAAGAATGTTCTAGGCTTATCCCAAGGCACATGTTACCAGATTTGTAGGACTAAGGGGAACTTCAGGAAAACTTGGGCTCATAGATTTTTCAGGGCTCCAGACTCTTTCAGAGTCCCAAGAACCTCCATGTGGCTGCTGGCTCCTTAGGGAGTCAGAGAAGGCAGCCTGTCCTTTGACTTCATAGCTGAGGATCTGAGGCTCAGAGTCATGCCACATGGCTCAGGTGTACACTAAGAACCCCTGGTTTCCCCCACAGGATCCATGTAGCACCAGAAGGAGGCAGAGTCAGCCATACCTATGGTGCCTCACACACTGGGTGTGGTGCTCTGATCTAAGCATCAGGAGGGCAAGGGTGGGAGAGGAAAGCAGGAGGAAAAGGGAAAGGGGGAGAAAGGGGAGTCAAAGAGGGAGAGAAGATGAGAAGAAAGAGAGAAGAAAGAAAATGAAGAAGAGGAGAGGCAGAGAGAAGAAATGGGGGAAAAGAGGAGGAGGGAAAAAAGGAGGAGGAAGAGGAAGAGGATGGAGAGGATGGGAAGAAGGGAGAAGAGGAGCAGGAAGGAGAGGAAGAGATGAAGAGGAGGGAGAAGAGGAAGAAGAGAAGGAAGAAGGACCACATGGGATTTAAAGGACTAAGCCCCTGGAAACTTGTGACTCCAAGGTCTGTAGCCATTTCCGATACCAGGTGCCCCAGGAGCAGCTGGCTGACACCATGTGACCTGTCTAAGACCCCTGCAGCCTTCTGGATCAGGTGAGTAGGCTCCAGGGACCAGCACCGAGAATCCTGTCCTCTTCATTCTAGACCTATAGCTAACTCAGGCTCAGTCTATTGCCACGGTCTTTCCTACTTTTATCTACCTGAGCATCAGGTGGACCTGGGGCCAGGTCATTAACATTATAAAAGCAATTGACTGTACTGTAGGTCTTTTGTGTACCCAGCTGCGCCTTGCACGGGGCATAATGGCTGCATAAAAGAGCAGCTATTTGTGGAGTGGTTGAATGACCATTGAGCTGTTGCTTGTAGTGGTCACAAGACAGGGGCGATGGGTAGTTATTAGAATTATGCCTGTGGGGCTGGAGAGTTGGCTCAGTGGTTAAGAGCACTGACTGCACTTCCAGAGGTCCTGAGTTCAAATCCCAGCAACCACGTGGTAGCTCACAACCATCTGTAATGAGATCTGATGCCCTCTTCTGGTGTGTCTGAAGACAGCAACAGTGTATTCATATATAATAAATAAATAAATCTTAAAAAAAATTATGCCTGTGTCTCTTCTGTCATTATCCTGTTTGTTTTGGGACAGGAATGCAGTCATGTCCCACAGGTGGTAAGAGGGGCATCCCAAACTAGAGTTATTACTGAGGGTATCTAATTCCCCAGCCCACCCTTCAGCCAGGAGATAGAACTTAGTTTCAGAGTGGAGCCTCCTCTCCAAGGTCCAGATGACTCTTCTGGGAAAGAGTATATGCACGCTTGTGGTGGCAAAGGCTGGATGCGCCCTTGGGTAAAATGGTTGAAATTTCACCGTGTCTCAGTATTCACAGCTGTGAAATGGACCCAGTCATCTCGACTGCTACATCTTCCTTTTGGTCCCTAGAGAGTAGATACCAAAGCCTTTGCAAATCACTTCAATGCATGAAGGGTTTGCTGACAGATGTGTCTCAAGCCAGAACAGTGCCTGGCTAATTGCTGAGGGAATAAACAGGGGCCTGTTCCTCAGGGGAGCATTATGGCTAAGCCAGGACTAAACCTGGATATGGCAGTGCAAAATTCTCCTGGCAGTCCTAGGAAGTACAAGCTACTGTTCCCACTACCCAGAGGTGGAAACTGAGGCCCAGAAAATATCAGGGATTGTGGAAAAAATTACAAGGTTGGCTGTGCTGACGCTGGCAATATCAGAACTTCAAAGGTCCAGGAATGATTACCATGAGTTTGGGGCCAGCCTGGATTACATAGTAAGTTCCAGGTCAGCCTGGGTTACAGTCTCAAAAACACCAAGCAACATGGCCAACCAGATGACTCATCTCTGCAAACCTGGGCTACAGAAGTTGGATCCATGAGGAGAGTAGAAAGACTTCAGAAAAGTTGTCCTCTGACCTCTACACGTGCCATGGCAGTGTGCCCTCATCCACCACACATACACACACGCATGCATGCACACACACACACATATATACATAAACACACACAGAGTAATAGTAATAAATAAAATAAAAATAAAAAACAAAACCCAACAAAAAATAAAAATAGTTAAAGGACTCAGTCCTTAACTCAGGTCCAAGGAGACACGGAATCTGGGTTTGATGAAAGGCCATGGTAATGGTACAGATCCAGGGGGAAGCCCCGACCTCCTGGCGGCTGAGTAAGCGTGCTGCACGCCTGATGGATTGGGGGTTGGGGGGCAGATCACCATCCCCTTATCCTCTTCGCCCTCCGCCCTCCCAGCCACCACATTCTTCTCTGCACTCACCTGGCTCGGCTCGCAGCGCTGCGTGCATCCAGCACCTCTTGGGTCTCCGCGCCAAGGCGACACCACCTGTGTGGCAGCAGCTGGGCTGGCCCGGGGACTGCCCCGCCCCATCCTCCATCCCCGCCCTGTCGCCCTGCGCTCTGCAGCCTACAGCCTCGCAGCCCCACTTACCTGACAGTGAGTAAGCGGTGACAGGGCTGCATTTCTGGTGGAGAAAAGAGACAGAGAAGCTGCAGAGCCTGACCTGTCCTGTCTGCTCTACTCACCAGCCGCCGTTCTTCCATACCGTCCTGTTTCTTTCTCCTTTTCTTCATTACACTTGTTCCCTCATCCAGTTCTTTTGTGTGTGTGTGTGTGTGTGTGCGCGCGCGCGCGCACGTGCGTGAGGTTATATATACATTCCTTTGTAAATTTATGCAGTTTTCTGTAGTTTCATGGTCTCTACATCTGCCTTTCAAACTTCCAACAATCCATCTTTTCTTCAGTCCATCCAACCTTGCATCTGTCCATCTTGCCTTCTGTCCAAGCGAACTCGTGCCTCCTGAGATGGGGTAATTTTATAAATAAAGACATTTGTTGTAGGAATTTTCTTGCCACATTGTATTTGCAGTGGAGCTTGGTGATTGGGCAGTAGAAGAGGTAGGCAGAACCAGGAGTGGGGAGGAGAAAAGAGGAAAGAAGGAGGAGGGAGGAGAAGCATCATGATAAATCTAATTGTGTGGGTATATTGTGTATTGAGCATTTGATATAGAAATCTATTGAATAATCTTTAGGCATTAAGAGTCTCATTTCTACCGAGTACTAGAATTGTTATATCACATGGGGGTGGTGGTTATTCCCTGGGTTTTGGGGCATGGACTCCACAGAGATGATCACTGGAGGCAACAGCCATGCCAACTTTTCATGGGTCCTGGGCCAGCGCTCTTGGTAAGCTGGTGCCTCTGTTAGAATGGGTACTAAGAACGGGAACATGGCGGTGGCCAGGGAGCCAGAGATGAGCCTCACAGTCACATTTTTCCAGTATTTTCAGCTACAGACATTTGTTTTGGATTAAAGTTTTGAAAAAAATATTTTAATTCCATGTGTGTGTTTTGCTTGCAAGTATGTACACATTAAGTGGTATGCTTGGTGCCCCCAGAGACCAAAAGAAGGCACCAGATCCTCTGGAACTGGAGTTAGCCATGGTTATAAGCTGCCCCGTGGGTGCTGGGAACTGAACCTGGGTTCTCTGGAAAAGCAGCAAAGTGCTCCTAATTGCAAAACTTTATCTCCAGCCCCAGCTCCAAGTTCTCAGTGCAAGAAGCTTAAGATGTTGTGTCTGCTGAGAGCCTCCTTGCTGGCAGAGTTCTGAGTGAAAGGACATCATGTGGAAGACAGGACATGTGTGTGTGTGTCTCTTTAGTCTTCTTATAAAGTCACCAGGATTCAGTCTTGGTAGACACAATCTCAGGACCTCGTCTAACCCTAGTGACCACCCCCTCCCAAGCTCCATCTCTGAGCATCCTAACGAAACACCACTCAGATGGAAACAGAACTTTCTCAGCTCCCAGCACCCCAGTGCTCACTCTGCACTCCCCACGGCAGCTATCACGGTGATTTCTGTTTCAGTAATGAATACACTTGTTCCTGAATTTCATATAGAATTGTGAGCACATACCCTTAGGTCTGATACGTTTTTTTCCTTTTCTCTCCCTTTCTCCCTTTCTTTTCTTTTTTGAAAGAAATTTTTTTTTAAAGATTTATTTCATGTATATGAGTACACTGTCGCTGTCTTCAGACACACCAGAAGAGGGCATCGGATCCCATTACAGACGGCTGTGAGCCACCATCTAGTGAGAATTGAACTCAAGATTTCTGGAAGAGTAGTTAGTGCTCTTAACATCTGAGCCATCCCTCCAGTCCCTTGAGAGAGATTGTTATATAGCACAGGCTAGCCTTGAACTTGCTGTAGCCAAGGATAACCTTGATTTCCCAATCCTCCTGACTCCATACCTTTTTATGCAGGGTAGGATATGAGAGCCCAGGACTTTGTGCATGCTAGGCAAGCTCTTTACCAACTGAGCCACAGCTCCAGCCTACATCAGGTGTGTGCCTACCTTGTTGATGAGTTTGACACATTTTATTGAATGCCACAGCCATAGCTCACGCTCTATCCACTGAATCAGAGTTTGCCACTATCCAAACACGCTGTATTTGTTTGCACATTGTACCATGGACAGACACTGTGGTTTCCAATGCTGAGCTTTTACAAATCAAGCTCCTGAACACACTCTTGCATCCACACACTCATTTCCCTTAGAGTGGGATTGTTCAGTCACACAACAGATGTGCTTTGCTTTAATAGAAATTGTCAGATTTTCAAAGTGATGGAAATTTACAGTTTCTTTCCCTGACAGCCTAGCCTGAAAATGACTGATTCTCCTGCCTCCATTTCTCAAGTGCTGAGGTTACAGGTGTGTGCAGTAGTGGGATGGCTGGTTGAACTCTCTCTCTCTCTCTCTCTCTCTCTCTGTGTGTGTGTCTGTGTTACTGAGGATTGAACCTAGAACCTTGGGCATGCTGGCAAGTGAGTCACACCTCTAAGAGGGTAAGAATTTTTGCATATTTATTTCCCATTTGTGTTTGTCTGAGTTGTCATTCATTTTTTAAAATAAGTACATTATCTTTTCCACATTGAGCTTAAGTCCTCTATATAGCCTGAATGAGGCTTTAAAGAGTTTTATCATGCTGGGCAGTAGTGGTGCACACCTTTAATCCCAGCACTTTGGGAGGCAGAGGCAGGTGGATTTCTGAGTTCAAGGCCAGCCTGATCTACAGAGTGAGTTCCAGGACAGCCAGGGCTACACAGAGAAACCCTGTCTCAAAAAACCAAAAAAAAAAAAAAAGAGTTTTATCACACTCAAGATTTACACACACACACACACACACACACACACACACACACACCACACATCATTACCAGTACTCAAGCATTTAAACTCATTTTGACTCTATTAGCAAAAGCAATTTTCACATTTTAGGAAATGATCCCAGCTGATCTAACACGTGATGCCCCCACTCGTTTGTACGTGGCATAGCCGGGCTCAAAGGATGAAGCCTGATTTTCCAGGCTGTAGCAGAGCATTTACTCTGGACTGGGTCCGTAGCAGCCTCCAGTAGCAGGTGATGGGGGTGGTAGTGGACTTGGCTCTTGGCTGTGTCTTTCCCAAGCTAGGTGGCTGGTACCTGCCTTGGGCTGTGGATGGGGTGGTAAGAAGTACAAGGAAGAGCCAGGAGAAGACGCCTCATCTGGATGTTATCCAGAGCTGGGTTGTCACATTCAGGTGGGTGCTCACTGCTTACCATGTGACTGCTATGAGGCAGGGTGTCTGGGGATCTATGGATGGTTAAGACAGCAGTTTCTTGGAGGAATCATGGTGAAGAAAGCTTACAACATTGGGCAGGCATGGTGATCTGCAGTGCTGAATGCCACAAGAGGCATGGTGGTCATGACAACCAGAAGAGGAGGAAAGTCAGAAGCATTAGATCTTCCTGGAGGTCCTGGATGGGTCCCAGGGACATCTTCATAGTGGAGCGATGCTATCTGAGCTGTGCCTTGACAGATAAGCAGGAGTCACTAGGCAGAGGGTGGCAAGAGGAACGTCTTAGTCTAGTGGCTACAGTGCATGGTGTGCTGAGGGAGAAGGCAGGGGAATGAGGTAGGCCCAGGAGGTCCCATACTCAAATAAAGGGCTTCCTTCCCTCAGCCTTCAGAGCATCCTAGTGCTAAACATTTTATTTCCTGAATGCCATTTAGGGATCACAGGTTTCTCTGTCAGTCTGCTCTGTCAGGGGTGCCCAGTGGGTGGCCTCTGTGGAATGGCTTTTCAAGTCACAGAAATCACAGTTCCTGATCCTTCTCACAGTTACATGTGTGCTTAAGGCAGCATGTGGCTGGCCCTTGGTAGGCACTGGACAGGTATGGCATCCACTCCTCTTACCTGAGAACATGGCTCTAGCAGGAAGTAAACTTTGATTTCATGTTATCTTTCTTTAGGAGCTGGGATCTAGAAGGCAGAAAGCAAAGAAAAATGGATCCTTGGGGGTGGGTGGTAGGCTGGGAAAAGACAAATACTGTATGTTTTTCCTCATAAGTGGATTTTTCTTTGAGATAAGGTCTCACTATATTACCCTGCAACTATGTAGGCAAGGCTAGCATTTAACTCACCTGCCTTTGTCTCCTGAGTGCTGGGATTAAAGGCACGTCCATCTGGGTGGTTAAAAAGGTGGGAGGGGCAGTCAGACAAGCATACCTGAAGACCTGGGCTTGCTTGAGGAGGTTTCTAGCTTTGGTGAACTCCTCAGCCAGTATCTTCAAGTCATCACCTTCAAATAGTGGCAACTTGGGATCCTGGGTAAGGGGAAATGAATGCAAAATTCATTATACTGAATTCATTATACTGAGACCTGAAAATCTAACATCTCAGAAGATGGTAGTCAGAGCAAATTAGATGTCGCCTCTCACCAGAGGCAGGAAGTCCTGGTGGGCCTCAGCTTGTGCGTCTCCATGTATCCAGGCAGCCACTCTACACATAGGAGGGTTTGAAATTAGATGCCTGAGAGGCAGTGTATGGGGGAAGGCGTGGAGGTGGGGAGGGACCAAGGTAGTGTCCAAATTTCCGAGAGTTTGGCTTTTTCCTGGGCCCATGTGGCAAATGTGGTATGTGCCTTACCTAAACTGCTGGTGAGTCAGTAGAATATATTCAGCCCTTCCTTCATAGAAATGTTTCCAAAACATTAACTACTGAAACTCCAGAGCCTAACTCTAAACAGAGACTCCCAAGTAACCAGAGCTTTGAGACAGAGAGGAGGCTGCCACCAGTGTGCCACACCAGCAGTGTGCCACATCAGAAGTGTGCCACACCAGCAGTGTGCCACACCAGCAGTGTGGCAGCGGCTGGTCCCACGAGGCATGCAGAACACTTTGAATAGGGTGGTGGTTCATATCTTATCCCAGCGCCAGAGAAAGGGAAGATTGGGAGTTCAAGGCTGGCCTCAATCACATAGTGAATCTGAGGCCAGCCTAGGCTACATGAGACTCTTTCTCAAACAACCAAGGCCTAGGGATGTGGAAATGTAGTTCAATGGAAGAATGCTTAGCCCAGCTCTGGGTTCAACTCCCAGCACTTCTGAATAACAGCAACAAAAGTTAAGCCAGGCATGGTGGCACATACCTGTAATCCCTGTACTGGGGAAGTGGAGGCAGGAGACTTGAGAGTTCAAGGCTAGCCTGGGCTACATACCAAAATACCATCTCAAAAAAAAATATGAAAACAAATAAATAAGGCTTAGTGGTTAAGAGCACTGGTTGCTCTTCCAGAGGTCCTGAGTTCAATTCCCAGCAATCACATGGTGGTTCAGGACTGTCTGTGATGGGATCTGATGCCCTCTTCTGGCATGCAGGTGTACATGCAACAGACCAATTATACATACTATAAATAAATAAAAACGTTAAATATGTATACCATTTTCCTGCTAGATGGGAGGAAGTCTGTCATATAATAGGTAACTGATGACTTCATTACATGTTGCTTAACAAAGCTAAACGTCTGTTTCAGAGAATGAACAGTGAAGTCAGAAGCCCCCATGAATTAGAGCCCAGTGGTTCTGAACCACATCTTGGGGTCTGGCTCTACCCTTCGTCTGACTTTGGGCACATAACTCAGCTTCTTGAGCTATTTGTCTGTGTCAGAGTGAGGGTGTGAGTGAGGCTGATCCGAAGCAGCCATCCAAGTAAAGCAATCCCGCCTTCAAGGGGATCTGGCTTAGAGCAGCAGTTCTCAACCTGTGGGTTGCCACCCCTTTGGGAGTCAAAGGACCCTTCACAGGGGTTACATATCAGAGATTTACATACTGTTATGCACGATAACAGTAGCAAAATTACAGTTATGAAGTAGCAATGAAATAATTTTATGGTTGGGGGTCACGAGAACATGAGGAACTGTATTAAAGGGTCCCAGTATTAGGAAGGCTGAGAACCACTGGCTTAGGGTGATAGCCACAGGAAATATGCCCTTTTTGATCAGCGTTACATGTCAAAAGAGAAGCAGAGATCTCAGGTAGAAGGAAGCCAGTACTTGTGGAGGCTTTTTTTTTTTTTTTCTAATCGTTGAGTCTGAAGGAGCCCTTCTGAATGACCGACTTCCCTACCGGCTCCACGGCCCCCACCCCCACCCCGGGGGCGCTCCGGTACCTTAAAACTGGAGCCTCGGTGGGGGTTCCAGGAGGGGCAAGCGCGCCCTGACCACCGACCACCGCCATGGACGAGTAAACTCGTACTACCCCGGTTTGTGGAGGCTTCTTGAAGCCTCTCCAACAGACTCGCATTTATGGCTGATCACCTACCCTTTCCATGATGAAGCCTCTGGTGAGCAAGCCTTGAATCCCGCTGAGGGCCTCATCCTTAACAGGGCAGTGGTAACGTCCCCCACTGAGAGAAGCCAGCTTCCTCAGGAACTCAATTGCTGCTCTGGAGGAGAAACAGAGGCTCAAGGGATTCACAGGGCTTAGAAGGGACAAGCAGAACCCCAGAACCACAGTGAAATTTAAGCCTTTGGAGGCTTAAGGGAAAGTGGCCTGCCAATCAGGCCTCAGGTTATACCATCAAGACCACCGTTAAGTACCTTCAAGTACACTCTCAGCCAGAGTATGCACCAGTGTCTACTGTATGTTAGGCCTAAAAGAACACAAATATGGCCTGGACAGAGTTTATAGTTTAGTCAGAGAGAGAAAATATATGCCCAGATAATCAATTTTATTAACAAAGTTTATTTTTTACTAGAGATTGAACTCAGAGCCTCAGACATCTAAGCAAGCACTCTGCAAATGAGACATGTCCTAGCCCTTCTTTGAGGAGGCTGCATCGTGTGTAACATATGCTCTTCTGAATGACATAATAACTGTGCTATCAAGATTAAGCCAGTTAATACCAGCATGGAGGGTTGGGGTTCCAGAAGTCCTTCTCCTGGCTAAAGAGTTATTAACAGTTGATGGCTAGTCCGGAAGGGGGAGCTGCTATTTGGGGGCATGTAGCCATTAGTATGTTGGCCATGCTCCAGTAAATGGCCTCATGTTCATGTACATACAAGCAGCAGAAACTAGACTCAGTGTGTTATATTAATAAAAAGGAAAGATGGGGCTGGAGAGATGGCTCAGCGGTTAAGACCTCTTGTTGCTCTTGTAGAGGGCCTGAGTTTAAGTCCTAAGATCCATGGTGGCGCACAACTATCTATAACTCCAGTTCCAGGGGATTGAACCCCCTTTTCTGATTTTTGAAGGCACCAGGCACTCATGTGGTACACATATATACATGTAGGTGAAATATTCATACATAAATAAAACAATAATTTTTAAAAAGAAAAAAAACCCCAAGAAATCGAGAGGGAGATATTGTAGGGGCCTCAGGGAAGCTGGAGGTGGGAATGGGGGTAGATACAGTCATCCATGTATACATGGATGGAATTTTCAAAGAATAAATAACATTAAGAATTGTGCTATGTTGATGTTTTCTTTTCTGGTTTCCCCAAATATTCATAAATGCTTTCCCAAGAAAAGAAGGGCAGAGGACAGCAGGATTCATGAACTGGGGTCCATCAGTTCAAGGCTGCAGAGTGATGTAAGGGCAGATGTTGCTTGATCAGTCTGGGGTAGGGAGAAGGTTTGTGGTGTCCAGACCACAAATAAAGACAATACATCTCCCATTCCTGTGTCTAAGGGAGGCTGTGGGTGAGTGGAGGGCCACACTCTAGAGAAGGGAACTCAGCTTACTGCTGTTGCCCACCTGTCTGTGCTGGTCAGAGAGATAGTATGCACCTTCACGCCTCTCTCCTTCTGGAACTTTTGGACAGTGTTGAGTATGAGGCTGCAGCTTGTGTCTGGCTTCCCATCAGTCAGGAGATACAGTCCTTGGACATCTTGAAAGCTGAAGGCTTTCTAAGAGAACATACCCAAGGTAGTCAGATCTGGCATGGAGATTCACTAGGAAGGGCAGAAATGATGGCCCAATAGAGGAGACTGTCCCTAAGGAAAATGTGTCTGAAAGGATTCTATAAAATTGCCCATTAGGATTGAGATCCTGGGCCATCCAAGACAAATTGCTTTCTATGCTAGCCTGGAGACCTGCATTTGATCCCTAAAACCATGGAAAGTTGTAAGGAGAGAACCAGCTCCATAAAGATGTCTGTCTTTCACACATGTGCTATGACCTGCATACTCCACACAGATCATAACACACACACACACACACAGAGAGAGAGAGAGAGAGAGAGAGAGAGAGAGAGAGAGAAAGAGAGTGATCTTGTAGCCTAAGATAGACCAAGGGAGCTGGGGGTCAGGACCGGGGGAGGTGGGAAAAGGCCCACTTCCTATCTGGTTAGTTTCAGACAGGCCACCCAACCTCCCTAAGCCTCCCTGTCTCCATCTGAAAGAGAACCCATGCCACTGAGCTGCTAGGAGGATGAAATGAAGTGATACACTGTGAGTCCTAAAGCATCATGGGCCACCGGTATGGGGTGTCTCTATCTCTGTCATGTTACATGGTAGGGTTCAGTGGCAGCACTTGCCATTAAAGCTTCTAAGACTGAGGTACTCCCCTGGGCTTGCAGGTGGGCCACCCACTGCATAGCCTCGTGACACGCCGTCTCTGTGCTTTCCACTAGAGTGTTCTGCCAGAGCTGTAGATCCTTTGCAAAGCTGACCAGGTTAAAACTGCAGAGGAAGAAAGAGAAAGGAGTAAAAAAAAAAAAGGACTGGTTAGAACAGGCCGCTTCATGCTGAAATTGTGGATGTTACCTCTGTAAGGATTGTTCTCTTGAGGACTCTACAGTATGTCCAGACACTGAAGAAGGAGAGGGTAACCCTTGAAAACTCTAGATGCAAATGTGAGTGGACTAACGCAGCAGTAGAGCAAAACACAGTGTTCTCCCCTCAACAGACTCCTCAAAAGAGCAGTTCTTGTTTCTGAAACCTCTCTGCTCCTTGGAACTGTGCTCAGCCTGGGAAACTAGGGATCTACCCTTTGATCTTCTAGACCCCATGCACCCTAGCCCTGTCCCTACCGGTCACAGTGCTTCCTCAGCTGTTCCCAAATCAGTAGAACAAGCTCTGTCTTCATCCACTGCAAGTGGGGGCTCATGGACCCTGAGGTATCCAGCAGGATGCACACATTGCTTTCCAATATGGTGCCAAACAGCCTGCGGCTCCCTGCTCAGAGATGGTGGCAGAGACAGGGAAGGGGTGGGATGTTAGAGAGCTGGAGAGAAAGCTGGGGTGAGGGACTGTATAGAGATACCCATGGGGGATGGGTAACACACTTAAAAAAGTTGTTCTAGGCTCAAGAGGAGTTCCAGAGGGCTAGCAACTTGCCCAGAATCCCACAGTTTAGAGGCTAGGTTTTGTCTTGATCCCCTAATCCACACTTTAGTCAGGCATTTTTAAACTTTGATCTTCTGATCTTACAAGGCTGAACAGAGATGACACAGGGGAAGCTCAGCAAGTATCTGGTGTGACCAGTGTCATGAACACTGGTGCTCACTGGGACAGCAGAAGAAAACTGACAAATGGCTGAAATATCAACTAGGCACCAGTCACAGTAAGTGGATCAAGTTTGGTGGGCCTTGTTGCCCAGGGTCTCCCAGGATTCATCTGGGTGTCCCAAAGCAATTCTGTCATAGGGGCAATAAGAGGAAAGCCAGCCTGAAGCTGGCAGGATGGTCTATAAGACTAGTCAGCCAGCTGGTCTGTCCTCCGAAGACCTCAACTACAAACATCTCGTTTAGTACCCAATGGTGGGGACACAGTGTTAACCACCATGCCCTGGGCATTTTCACCTCCCAAGTTTCTCATGCCCTGCCTACCTCATCTTTCTCAGACCCCCCTACTTGACCAGCTCTCTTTATCGTCCAAAAGGGTCAGACCAGGAAACCCTTGCTCCACTCTGTTCCCCAATAGTTTATCATCCACAAAGCAATCAGAGGATTATTGCAAAAGCAATGGAAAATCTATTAGGGTTCCTGTTGCTATTGGTAACGTAAGTGCTCTGGCTGTGTCTCCTGCCAGGCATGTGTGAGAGGGAAGGCAAATCCCCCAGGACTACTGATTGAGCATCAAGGCCAAGAGGCCAGGCTGACCTCTTGAAGTAGACAGGAAATGAAACAGATAGGAAGCAATTTAGCTTTGTAGTCAAAGGGAGCCTTATGGGTCCTCCTGGCAGCCTGTGCTGCATGCAGGGTCCCGTGTAAGTTCACTAAGGTTTTGATGCTCTCTACTTGAATGCTCTCTACTTGGCTTCTACTTGGCTTCTACTTGGCTTCCAGTCTCCTTCTCTGCCTTTGAACTCAGAGTTGTCCCTTCCCCTCAAGACCTCTGCCCCAGCCTGCTTTTCTTCTTTGTCTGGTAACCACCTAGCAATCTTTAAGCATCACTCCAGGGATGATTTCTCTGAGATGAGATGACAACTTCCCACCCTAGCCCTCAGCCCCTCACAATACCGTATTCCTCCTTTCCCTGAACTTGTCACTGTCGTCATATCAGACCTGTTACAAAGAGGTTAACAGCTCTCTCCTAGACAACATGATCCATGAACCCAGGGGCCCCGCTGGTACTTGTCTTCCCTCCCGCACATACTTGGTGGAGTTCAACAATTCTTCATTGGATGAATGAATGAATGAATGAATGAATGAAGTACCTCCAGGGGAGTTTGGGTGTGTGAGTCCTGGGGACTGAATGTGTGGCTTTGTACATGCTAGGCAAGCACTCTACCACTAAGCTATAGCTCTGGCTCTCAGGTGAGTTTCAAGTACAGGTGCTTGGGTGTGGAGCTGTGTGGGAGGTGTGAGCTCCTGGCTACAAATGAAGGCACACAGTCATCAGCTATTCTGAGTGGCTTGTGTGAGCTGAGGACAGGAAAAGGTATCTCCCCTCTACTTCCCCTTTGCCCTGTCCTAGCCTATGACCTGTCAATCACTTCTGGAGCTTAGGAGGAGAGAGGTTTTGGAAAGCACAGTCATGGCTGCAAGCCATGTCTATAGACTACTTACAGTAGGCTTTCTACAGAAAACTTGACTTAGTGAACTTACACAGGACCCTGCATAGCAACACAGGCTGTTAGGAGGGACCATAGGCTCTCTTCAACAGCAAAGCTAAATTGTTTCCTATCTATTTTATTTCTGGTCTACTTTAAGATGGCAGCCTGGCTTCTTGGCCTTGATGTTCAAACAAGGCTTGCCCTGGACCCCTGGCCTCTGGCCTCTCCCTCACAAATGCTGGGATTTCAAGGTAAGGACCACCACACCTGTAATTATAGTCAGCCCTCCTCTAGAATGTAAGCCTGAGCCTCCTCAGCCTGCCTCTTCCATGTACCTTTCTTTGAGGTACCTTAGTACCCCATGGGAAATGTGGAGAAGATATCTTGTGGGTTGGAACACCTTCCGTTTTTACCTTTACAAAGGGGTTCGAGCAGGCCCCATTAATGCCCAGGTCTTATTTCTCTCATAACCCTCATTTCCTACCATCCTAACAGCTGTGATCAGAACTGGGATGTCTTCAATCATGCACAGATAGGAAAGGAGGCAGACAGCTGTGTAGGCAGCCTAGGCTGGCAGAAGCTCTCTCTGGTTTCTGTCCACACTTCTGTTACCTTGTATGACCTCTGGACCCAGAGCTCATTCAGTATAAGGAGAATTGGTTGGCTAAGCCCACTGGCCCGTCTCTGGGATTCATGTCAGCAGTTCCTCTCAGGCCCCTCCCACCTCTCTGGGCTGTAGTCACACTCACCAGACAGCAGCCAGTGCAGTCTCTGCACATAGCACCTCATCACCTTCTCCATGCATGTGATGTATGCCTCCATTTCCCACAGTGTCCACTGGATGTGTCTCACTACTCCCTGGGGAAGGCAAGCAGAGGCTAATCTCCTATCAGTATCGGTTCATAGTCTCAGCACCCCTAAATAGTTTATGCCATTAAAATAAGCAATCCTCAACATATTTTTCTGTATATATGTGTATTTGTTTGCATGCCTAATTTTGAAACAGGGTCTCACTATGTGGCTCAGATTGGCCTTGAACTCATCATCTTCTTTCTTCTGCCTCCTGAGTCCTGGGATTACAGGCAGAGACCATCATGTTTGGACCAATTTTGTTTATTGAAGTTATTTTTCTTTTAGTTTACTACTAGATTCAATGGTTCTGTGAAGGAGAGGGAAGCGGGATAATGGTGCCATGACAAATGGAGTCAGTGGAATAGTAAAAACCACACCATCTCCAAGCTTTAAACACAAAATCCTTAATGAAAGGCTGAAGGTCCATACACTTCAAACAGAAAGATGATCCTGGACAGAGAGGGGTCAGCATATGAAAATGACTCCAGGTTCTTTTACTGGATAATTTTTTGGCTATTTTTAGTTTCCTCTGATGTTGATAACCTGGTTTCAAAGGGCAAAGAGGAAAAGAAGCCAGTTTTTTACCTTGTACTGAAAGCACTTACTGCATTCTCAGAACAATGAGAAAAACATCTCTTGAACAGAAAGCAGAGAGGGGACCTGTTCTCTTCTGCAGTCCTAACAGAGCCATGGCCAGTGTTAGGTACTCTGGTGGTTTGAATGAGAATGTCCCACCCCATGGACTCTAAGGATTGTTGGTCTATCAGTGAAGTGGGCTTTAACATTTCAGAAGCCCATGCCATCCATAATTAGCTCTCTCTGCCTCATGCCTTCAGATCAAGATGTAAACCCACAAATATTGCTCTACTGCCTGCCTACCTGCTTGCTGCCATGTTTCCCACTACAATGGTCATGAACTCTAACCCTCTAAAACTGTTGTTCCCAAATAACAAGTCCCAAATGGACTCTTTTCCCTGAAAGTTGCCTTGGTTATAGTTTCTCATCACACTGATAGAAAAGAGATGGGTACCAACACTTTGGAGTGACTACTTCAGCACGGCCTGAGTGCCCAGCGTGGCCTGAGTGCTTAGTGCCTGCTTCTAGGCCTACCATCTACTCAAGAGTGTGGTCTCAGACCCTGGGGACTTGGCTTTTTTTTTTTCTGTCATAATTCTCTATTTTCCATCAACTGAGGAAGTCCTACTTTAAGGAGTGAGGCAGGAGTGGAAGTTAGTGTCCCCTGATCGTCTCTCTGCCACTAGCAGCTGACAAAAGGTAAGAAAAGAATGGGGCATGGAGAACACCACATTGTGACTTACATTGATCTCTATACTGGGGAAGAGAGTGCAGTGTTTGGTCAGCGCCGGCCCCCGTACTGACTTTTGATAGCTACAGTTGGGACCAAGGCATTTGGAGAGCTCCAGTTTCCGTCTCTTCAGCCTGCAAATGGCTGTCCACTGTAGAATAAAATACTGTCAGGCCTAAAGAGTGATTTGTCTTCATTTTATTTATTTATTTTTGGATTTTTTCTTTTCTTTCCCTCTCTTTCTTTCTTTCTTTCTCTCTTCCTTTCTTTCTTTCTTTCTCTTTCTTTTTTTGAGACAGACAGGGTCTCTCTATGTTGCCCTTGTTGTCATGGAACTTGCTATGTAGACTAAGGTGGCTTTTAACTCACAGAGATCCACCTGCCTCTGTCTCTTCTGTACTGGGATTAAAGTGTGCACACTGACCCCAACTTGTATTCATTTTGCACAGTGAGACTGAAGGTAGTTATGTGGCCTCCCAAGGCCACCCAGCTAGGACATAAGCAGACTCACTTTGGAACTTAATATTATTATCCCATATGCCACAGTAAACACGCATTCTTAACAGGTGCACCCTCTCTTCCAAGTATGCCCACCCTCCTGGAAGATATGGTTGGTAGAAGAAATTACTAAGGGGCTCGTGGTGATATGCACAACTGAATACCTCTTGACTTGAGCAAACAGTGTCCTTCCTGGGCAGCTCAATGGAAGAATTAATTCTTCTAATAGGTTTTCCTTGAGTGTACCTCTTGTACACCGAACCTAGGAGAAATACAGCAGTGTTACCATGGATATGCCTCACCCTTTTCCCTTTTCTCATATCAATCTCTCTGCAAGTCAAATTCATTGCAAATTATTTAGGTATAATTTGCTAAAGATGTAGAAAGTAAATTATGAGGATGGGGCGGGCTGCTCAGGGTTCCCTTTCTCCATTTAGCAAGGAGTCCAGCTGGAACCAGTACTGTGCTGGCTAATCTTCATTGTCAAACTGACTGGATTTAGAACAACCTAGAAGACATGCCTCTGCCTGTATCTTTAAGGGAACTTCCAGAGAGGTTTGAGGAGAGAAGACCCACTCTGAATTGGCTGACACTACCACACAGGCTGAGGTTCTGGAGGACATAAAGGAAAATGGAGAAGTGCCAGCCTTCCTTTTTCTCTGCTTCCTGACTGCAGGCCTAGTGTGACTAGCTGCCTATGTCCCTGCTGCCATATCTGACAGCTTCTCCCTCCACTTCCCCACCAGGATGGACTATAACTCATCAAATCAAGAGCCCAAATAAAGCCTTCCTTTAGTTGCTTTTGCTTGTATTTTGTTACACGAAGAAAAGAAGTAAGTAACATAGGTAACACTCTGCCTGGACCCAATGGCAGGCCTAGGGAAGGAAATCTTTATTCCTCTCCTAATTGTCCTCAGGGCTTAGGAAACTGCCTCTTCCAGGAGGTACCAGTGTGCCTAAGGACAGTTGAGACCCCACCTGCAGCACTGGGTTTTCTCATTCTGTGCCAATGGCAGAAGCCGCATGGTCATTTCTCTGGCTGGGAGAACTGAGTTGTTTAAGGACAGACCTGTTCCAGAGGCTGAGGCCTGAGGTAGCTAGCTGGAGGGGGCTACTCTCCTCACCAGGTTGTCCAGGGCCAAGAGCTGTTCAGACACACATTGGCTTTAGCTTACCCACACTATTCTCAGACTCTGTGTAGAACAGAAAGAGCTTTGCTTTTGGTCTGGTGTTGGCCTTCGTCCTCTGTTCCACTATCCTTTCTTTCCCAGGTTGAGCTGCAGCTGGAAGACATTTGAGTTGTTGGTTGGGCAACTCTGTAGGTCCCATTGATGAAGCTACGCTATTTGGCTACCTCAATTTCAGCTGAGATCTACCCTAGACATGGGAATCCCAGGCACTTCACTCCCATCTCAGGTTCCTTGGCCTTGTCTGGACCAGTGATAGCTGGAGCTACCGCCACCAAGTCCTGACGTTTCCTGGACATAGTGTTAAGTGCTTGGTGTGCCTCGTACTGTTTCCTCATGGTCCCCAGCTTACAGATGGGCTGATAAGAAACAGAATGAAGATTCCTGGGCTCGCTGCCATGAACCACACTGTTATAAATCCTTTTCTTCAAAATGAAGACACATAGCCCCAGGTTTATGAAGAGAAAAAAAAATAAAATAAACTATAGTTTTTTTCATAAAAAAAATAGTTATGGCTTCTTTTGATGAACCCCTTTGGGCCTGAGCTCAGTAACATCAGCAAATAGGGAACTGACTGTAGAGGATGGGTGGCTACAGGCTTTATGAAAAGCATCTTGGCTGATGGGCTGGTCAACCTCACTGTCTGGTAGCTACTTTCAATATTAACTCACGCCTCAGCTGACTCTCCACATCCACCTGCCCACTGTCACACCTTACCTGGAGAGACCCTTGTTTCACCATCGAGGGAGTGACACTTCAGAGCTTTCAGCTGGGAGCTTGTGTCTCCATCCAGGTCATCTTTAACGCTCTAGAAAACAGGCCATCTTACCCATCGAGGCCTGCTGCCTGGGGTAGGCAGTTCCCCAGTTACCCTGACCTCAACCTGCCAACCAAGAATGTTTATAGGGAGGGATCTAAGGGAGTTAGCACTTCAGGCACGGTTGGACTACCTTCTGCAGTAGATTTCACGGTGGACTCTGAATTTGGGAGTGAACAAAGTTTCTGAATGTGTGCATTCATGTATACACTATGAAAGCACACTAGAAGAGCCACTGGATACTTGCCAGAATATTCTTTGCTAGTTTTCTGCTTGTCTTCCTACTGGACTAGAATTTCTGGACCTCCAGTAAGACAAACAACCATTTAGGTAAATTCTATCCTCTGTTTTTGTTGTTGTTTCAAGACAGAGTCTTACTATGTGGCTTTGGCTGGCCTGGAAGCTCACTGTATTGACTAGTCTGGCCTTGAACTCATAGAGATCCTCCTGCCTCTGCCTCTCAAGTGTTGGAATTAAAGACATGTACCACTCTGCCTGGCATTTCTATGTCCTCTTGGGCCCTTTAGTAAGGAATTCTTTCCTTACTAGGCACAAGTAGAATGTAGTTATAGTTTAATAAAGTCACCCAAGGCACCAGGCCAGCAAAAGGACTCTTTTGTGCCTGTGGTGGAAAGGTCCTAGATGTTATCACTCCAGGGAATGGCTAGCCTGTCAGGAGGGCCCAATGGAAGCCATGCTGCGGCCTAGCCTTCCTCATACTGAGTCAGCTTGTGAACCAGTAAAGGTCCCAGAGGAAGGCTCTGAGATTCTGAGGGTCTCCCAGAGTAGGGTTATTAAGAGAGGATAGGGATGAGTCTGAGCTACTGGGCTTCTCTGAGTGAATCCAGGAAATGCCTTAGAAGTGCAGCCCCATGAGTAAGCTATACATTCTGGGACAGACGTCCCCATTATGAAATGTGTTGTATTCACTAGCGGCTCAGTCAGTAATCTGCTGAACAGCCTTTAGGTTTCACTGAGTCTTCAGCTCAGAGTACTGGCCCATGAAGGTCTTCCCTCTAGAAGGTCCCCTGATGACTTAGGTAAGGAATGAGCATTTTATGCAGGACATGTTTGATGCCTGTGACTGAGTATACTCCTCAGCAGGCTCAGGTTGCATCTGAGAGTCCCATCATTGCCCCTGCTAAGCTTGGTCTCCAGTAACAAATCCTATTAATGACCTTACTCTTTCCCTACAAATCCTCCAGGTTAAGCTACCACATGCAGAGGAGGTGAGTGTATTTCCACGGAGATCCTAGAACTAGGCTAGGGAGAGAAGCTGAGATAGACATAAGCAAAAGCACAGGGGAGTGGGTGGACCATAGGTGTCCCCCTCTAAACTAAGAGGCAGGTGCTCTTCTCAGTGTCTTTCATGGGATGTCCCTCCCCAAATCTCTGTCCCCACCAGTGCTAGCCCTGGGGCCTGGCCCAGTCCTTTTAAGATCTAGGAAAGACAAGGAGACAAACTGGAAAAAAATCCTCTGTGTGTTATTAGGGAAGGGTGTCAAACCATTCTGGCCACCGAGGGGGCTGTGGGCTTGGGAGGATAGAGTTTCTTGGGCTGACTTTGCTGTTGAGTCTTTGGCTTGTCTTTCTCGAGGGCTCCACTTTGCAGTTCTTTTCCTGAATGGTTCTTCAGGGAGGCAACAAGGAAGGCACACTGCAATGGGAATTACGTGGTTAGAGCACATTGGCAACTGTGGGTAAATAAATACTCATGTGCAGCAGGACAGAAGACTTTTGATGCTTCTTTCTGCCCAGAGAATATAGTTTGGGACTAAGAGCGCTGTGGGTTAATCTTATGGACCCCTTATATTGTACTGGAAACTGGGAAAATTAATGTTCAGAGTTTCAAGCCCTCAGGCCAACAAGACATGATAATGAGACCATTTTATACCCAGTTTGTATATGAAATGTTCCCTTTTGGCTCATGCATGGTCCTCTGTCCTACTATGAGAGGTTCTAGAAACTATAGGAAGAGGGGCTTTGCTGGCAAGAGGAGGCAGATCCTTAGGAACTGGACCTCTCTCTGTCCTCCCCTCTCTCCTTCCTGTCTGTCACAATATCAGTTGCTCGGTTTCAGACACATCTACCACCATGATGCTCAGCCTCACCTACACCCCACCATGATGTTCAACCTCACCTACACCCCCACCATGATGCACAGCCTCACCTACATCCCACCATGATGCTCAGCCTCACCTACACCCCCACCATGATGCTTAGCCTCACCTACACCCCCACCATGATGCTCAGCCTCACCTACACCCCCACCATGATGCTCAGGTCAATAGTCAAGGAACCAGCTATGGGCTGAAATTTCTGAAGCTGGGAGCTAAAATAGTTCCTTTTTCCATTAACTTGGTTTTTCTCAAATATTTGTCGCATTGATAAAGAAGCCAAGATATCTCTTGACTGATAGGGAAACCAAAGCTCTGTCAGTTCAAGGTTCTTGTCCAAGGCCACAATACTCATTAATGGAGGAGCTTCAAGTTAACTCCAGGGGCCTGGACAAGTCAGCATGTAAAACCCATGTTCAGCCACAGAGTCAGCTATTTCAGCATCAACACAGACACTAGCAGAATCACAGTGGACTACTTATTCTTTTTATCTAAAAGTTTCACACTCAGAGCACCAGAATACACTTTTTGAACATAGGCACACATCCAAAATAAGGTGGGGTTAAGGTATTATTGTCCACTAATACCTCGTAAGTTTGTTAGGTGTGAGAATAGGATGGTTTGCATTTAAGAACCAGAGATTTACAGACCCCCAGATGAGCTAGAGTTTGGGGAGCCACCAGTCCACTGGCCCAGCAGCCATAGAGGAAAAAAACATGGCCATGGCTCTGCTGTCTTGTGTGGCGATGAGTCAATCTATGAATAGCAGGAACTAACATTTGAGGGAGGGTGAGACCTTCACAGATCCTTCCTTTGGCGTGACCATGGGCCCTGTAACCTCTTTGTCTATCCTGGGCTTGAACTGCTTCAGACCCCTATCTCTACTCCTTATCTTCTCCCATCTGCCTTCAAGGCCATCCTCATTTTTCAATCTCCACAGACAAGCTCACCTTTCTCTTGGCCTTACCCTCTCTGCTTACCACAGACTTCCTACATTCTCTTTCAGTTGTCAATGGCACTATTTTCTACCAGGTGCCCCAGAAAAGACCTTGGAGACTTCTTTTTGTTTCTTCCTGTCTGTTACCCTGTATGTTCCATAGGGTGTAAATCTGTAATTCGTCTTTAAATGTTCACTGCTCCATTCCCCTGATTCTCATTGCTCCTGGCATGATCAAGACAAGGTTCCTCTGTGTAGCCCTGGCTGTCCTAGAACTTGCTGTGAGAACCAGGCTAGCTTCTAACTCAGAGATCTGCCTGCCTCTGCCTCCTGAGTATTAGAATTAAAGCCATGGGCAACCACTGCCAGGCTTTTAAGATGAATTTTGTATAACAAAGAGCAAGCCATGGATGACCGAGGAAGGCATAGCAGGCAGAGAACACAGCAGGTGCAAAGACTGAGATTAGGAAGGGGCTGGATGTGTTGAAGGAACTCAATAGAGGCCAGAATCTATAGCATTTAGGTCAAAATCCAGTGGAAGACAGGGAACCTCTATGTTCCATCTGAAGCCTTGGCTGTTAGTGGATGTTATCACAGAGAGGGAAGCTGGTGTGGGCTGATTTGTGTTTCCTAAGATATGTTACAGAGTGACCTTCTGGTGACTGCAAATGTGACCTTACTTAAAAATAATGTCTTTGCAGCTGAAATCTAAATGGAAGTCAGGATGAGGTCATATTGGCCTTTCAATTTAATACAACTAGTGTTCTTGTAAGAAAGAAAAGACCAGCACACAGACGGCAGACAGCCATGTATAGATGGAGGTATAGGTTAGACCATGCTCAGACAGCTGAGGAATGCCCATGGATGGTCACGGACCAAAGTTTAGAGTCATCATCTTGACCAGGCCTCCACTTAGGCCATCTCCACCTAGTTTTAGCAAAGACTGGTGCTAAGTAAGTTCAGCAAAAGCCACTCTCCCCTTGATATCTGTTCAGAATTGCTCCTCCTTGAGTTCTAGGTCCTGGGTCTGCCTTTAACAAGAGTGTCTACACCTTGCCACCTAATCAACTTTCTTTTTAGTGATTTTCCATCCATTGACTACTCACTGGGTATTTCTGACATTCCTAGCTATTTCTGTGGTGTTTGTGTTTGAACCTTCTCTCTCCTACTGCAGTAGTCTTAGAAATCTTCCATGCCATTTATAATAAGCAACCAACACTGTTTTGCTTTTCACCAACTCTAAAGAGATGCAATGACGAAGGGTTCTATCCATAGCCTACAGAAGGAACACAGCTCTGGGAGCATAGAAGCATAAATGTCTTTTTGATTCAAAGTACTCTGTTGCAGCAGCCATGGCAGGAACTGTACATGTTTAAGCCCAGGCCCAAGGCATACCTTTTGGGAGTAGTTGAGGGCTTTTTCTATCTCAGATACGATGGCATTGATATCATCACTCTCATAAATACCTGGAAACAAAGCACATCTTGAGCATTAGTGGGAGGGTGTGGATCCGGGTAAGTGTGAATATCTTTAATGTATGCAGGCTTTGTGGAAGTGACAAGCTCAAGATGCAAGATGGGACCACAGTGGACTGAAATGACCAGCCACAACTTTATATCATCCAGTGGTTGCCACCAAAAGCGTAACTAGCCACAGGACTGTGTCCTGGCACTCACAGGAAGGGGAAGGTCGACACAAAGTTTCTTGCTACTGTATGGGATGGGAAGAGCCACATGATAACTATTTACAGAGGATAATATCTGCAGTGAACACTGCAATGTCATTCTGAGTGGGACTCTGGCAATGTCAAGTACACTGGGTGTTGATGCTGTCCTTCCTGGGTTCAGCTTCTGTCCTTTGGGCTGTGCCTCAACTACTTATCTGCTAAACAGGGCAGGGAGTCATCTACTTCACAATCGTGGTGTTATGGTGAGGTGAAGTTATAGTGTATGCAAAATGTTTAAACTGTGTCTGGCAGCTCATAGCTGGCAACGTGTAGCTGTTCTGTGTTTGCTATTATTAGTGATCATCTCCAGGAATGTAAATGAACACATCCAGAAGGATCAAGGCTAGAAAGATCTGAAAACTTCTCCAGAGCTCACAGCCAAGTGATGCCACCAGCTGTGACTACAGGCATGCCCTGCCTCTTGAAGTTACTTCATCTGTGAGTCACAGAGGCTGGAAGGAATGAGTGTGTCTCAGGCTTAATCTCTCCATGCTACTGTACTGAGTTTTTGATATGCATACCCTCTAAGCCATCACTTATTTAATATTGTTTTACATTTCTCTTGCCTTTCCCCCCAAACCCCAATGACAAGGTTTCTCTGTGTAGTCCTGGCTGTCTTGGAATTCACTAACGCTGTAGACCAGATTGGCCTCGAACTCAGATATCTGTCCGCCTCTGACTCCCAAGTGCTGGGATTGAAGGCATGTGGCATCACTACTTGGCACTTATTAAGGTTTTAAAAAAGAAAATTTGTATTATGGGCAACAAAATTGACACTTTTCTAAAATGTTAAGATAAGCATGTAATTATTGTAACTATTACATATAAATACATATATACACACACAGAGAGAGAGAGAGAGAGAGAGAGAGAGAGAGAGAGAGAGAGAGAGAATGAGAGAGAATGAGAGAGAATGAGAAGGCTTGCTCCATGTAGCATATATTTTATGGGTCATTTGTGAGTATACTAGACTTTGGGAACTATAAATCTAAGGAATATTTATTTATAATGTGTTCTAGATTGTGTGTATGTGTATGTTATTATGGACACACATGTAACACACTCACATACACACATGCAGACACATACATCAGTGTGGAGATCACAGGGCTTTATGCAAGCACTCTATCACTGAGGTCAACCACAGTCTTGATTTCTGCAGTACTTTAAGACTTTACCTGTTAAAAATTGCAGTAAAATATACCCAACCATTTTACTTTTGGGGGGGACTGGGTATGAACCCAGGCATACAAAGGAACAATCCCACCACTGAGCTGCAGCCTCTGCCCATAGTCACTTTAACTGTCAAGGTCAGGTACTAAGTACATATGTTACTTACACACACCATCACTAGTCATTTCCAGAATATTCATTTAACATCTTTTTTTTTTCTTTTTGAGGGCTGGGGATGGAATCTAGGGCCTACAAATGCTAAATATGTCCTTGGTCACTGAGCCACACCCCTAGCTCTTAGTTTTAATTTATGTTATTTATGCATGTGTATACACTCACATACATGTTCACGTTCATGCCGTATATGTTAAGGTCAGAGAACTACTTGTGGGAGTTGGTTTTATTCTTCTACCATGTGTGATCTAGGGATGGAACTCAGGCTTGGTGACAAGCCCCTTTACTCACTGAACTGTGTCTCTGCTCTCCTAAATTTAATTTTTAAAATTCTTTATTATTTTCTATGTATAGGTGTTTTGTCTGCATGTATGTCTGTCAGGGGTAGCCCTTATTATGCACTGAAGGCCTAAAATCAGCCAGAGGCCTAAAATCAGCAATAGGCCTGATATACATGTCTGCTAACACAAAGTCTTGGGTCTCTGTGGAAAAACACTGAAACAGATGCCTAGAAGCTATTGTAAACAAGCAGCTTTGGTGGAAAATTGCCAGGCTGAATAGTCATAGACCTTGTAGATAGGTAACCTTGGTGGATAGTACCAACTTAGATAAGGACAAGTGAATCATAGTAAGAATCATAATGACATGCCCCCTGAACCTTCATCCAGCTGATATTCTGTTCTGGAAGATATCTGTACTCTCCCTGAACACCTATGGTCCTGCATCATCCCCTTCCCCATGTCCTGCCTTTTTTGTGTATAGAACCCCTATGTGAAAAAGTAAAAATTGTGATTTGATCAGACTATAGACAGATCACTGTTTTTTGCATTCATCTGTTTTCCCCCATCTTCTCTTTCAGGTGACCTCCTCAGACCCCTGTTTAATGCCCTGCTGGACAGGACATATGTCTATGCACTACATTAGTGAGAGGTAACCTGAAAGGCCAGAAGAAAGTATTGTATCCCTGAAACTGGAGTTACAGATGGTTTTGAATCACCATGTGGGTGCTGGGAATCAAATCTGGATCCTCTAGAAGAGCAATCAGTGCTCTTAACAGCTGAGCCATCTCTCCAGCAATCTTAATTTAATAAATATGACTTTTCCATGTTGCATCTTGACACTATTTTAATGTCAAAAGGAAACATGCCAGTGCCGAGACACTATCTGGAGAGAAAGAGGCAAAGGACTAGGGCACACCCACGTACCTGTCTCTCCAAACCAGTGGAAACGACCACAGGCAGCCTGTGTGACCTCTTTGTAGGCAGTAGCAGTGTCAGTACGGCTGGCATAGCAGGCAGGGGGTGTGGTGTCCATCTGGGGTTCGCCCACATAGAAGAGACAGACATTTAGCTGGAGGTCGCAACCCCTACAGGCCTCTGCCACATAGGCGCTGAGTATGTGCTATGGGGAAGAGAAGACAGGAAGTCCTTACCTGAGGCCTGGGCGCTGCTGATTTTCCAACAGTTCAGCAGATCATCTCTTTTCTTTTCTTTCTCTCTTTTCCTTTCTTTCTCTTTTTGATTTTCAAGCCCTGGCTGTCCTGAAACTTGCTCTGTAGACCAGGCTGGCCTTGAACTTAGAGATCCGACTGCCTCTGCCTCCTGAGTGCTGGGATTAAAAGCATGTACCACCACCACCCAGGTGATCATCTTTCTTTTAGAAAACAAAAACATTTTTAGGGTTGGAGAGATGGTTTAGTGGTTAAGAGGACTGGCTGCTCTTCCAGAGGACTTAGGTTCAATTCCTAGTACCCACATGACAGATCACAACTGTTTGTAACTCCAGTTCCAGGGGATCTGGCACCTTCATAGATGTACATGCAGTCAAAACATCAATGCACACACACACACAAAATAAATCTTTAAAAAGAAAAGGAGAGCATTAAAAAAGAAAAAAATATTGATTGTGTGTGTTAGGTTGTGTGTGTGTATTGTGGGGAGGTAGGTGTACACATGGAAGTGTAAGATCCTGCAGAGACCAGAAGATGACATTAGATCCTTTGGCACTGGAACTGCAGACAGTTATGAACATTGTTGACCATGGGTGCTGGGAATTGACCTTAGGCCTTCTACAAAAGTAGTTGATGCTCTTAATTACTGAGCCATCTTTCTAGCCCTCTGATCATCTTTCTTGATGCCCTACTGTGTGCTCAGTCTAGTTCTGTATGCAAAGGCAGAAAGATACCATTTCTCCCCATGTTTTAATAGGGCACGGCAGGGATTTGGGCCTGGAAGCCCAGTCATGCCTTCTGTGGTCTGTATGCAGGAGCATGGACATCCTGGGAGCTATCAGTAATGGAGCCTCTCAGGCCCACCTGAGACCTGCTGAGCCAGGGGCTGTGCTCTGACAGTATCCCTAGGTACTTGTATTTGAGAAGAGGTAGTTCAGATAAGCATGCTGGGTTGGGGCTGTGGCTCAGCGGCAGAATGCTTGCCTAGCAAAAGCAAGGGCCTGAAGTCCATATTCAATACCGTAGAAAATACAAGATAAGATTAACATGGTGGCTCACGAGTTTAATCCCAGCCATTGGGAGGTAGAGGCAGGTGGACCTACTTCTGTAAGTTCTCGTCCAGTCTGGTTTACATAAGCACATTCCAGGCAAGGTAGGACTATATAGTGAGACCCTATCTCAACAACAAACGAGATAATAGTTGTCTAGGATGAGGGATACTCACCACATCTTGGTCAGGGACACCCCCTGTGAAGAGGTAGATGCCCTGAGACTCATGTTTGGTTTTGTCCTTGAAATCCACTTCTATGGCCTTCCGGAGGGCTCCGAGAACATTTCTGCTTCCTTGACACTGCAGGCCCAGGGCCCACCTGGAGAGGCAGGGACATAAGGCTTGAGAGGGCCACCTTTGAGGCCCTGAGGTCCCAAGAAGAAAGTTGTTTTCTAGTGTCTGCCCTTGGCTGCAGGTGGGCGGGGCTGCAGTGAGGGGGATGGGGAAGACAATGCCATAGAGCAGCTGTAAGACACAGCTACAGAGAAAGACTCTGGCCTCCATTACCTACCGCCAGGCTCTTTGTAAGTTTTCATGGCTCACAGCAACCATCTCTGGCCTCCAGCTCTCAACTGTGCTTCCAAACCTTTGAGGAAGCAAAGGAGTTTGCTTTTAGGACACATGTCCACCTGTGCCTCCCTTCTTTGGAATCCACAGGCCTGAAGGTACACAAAATTCTGACAGTAAGCCCCCAAAACGTTGGAATGTTGCTGGCCTGGGGTAGTCACAAGGTTTTCTGGTCATAACATATTAAAGCCAACTCTGTGTGGGACAGCACCAGGATTCTCAAGCAGAGACAGAGCGAGTGCCAGCCTTGGCCACTGCCCTCCTAATACTCTGAAGTCTCCTTTCTCTGCAGAACTTCTTTGTCCCTTCTTGTTCCCCTGGAACAGCTCACTGTTTCTTCCAGACTTTAGAAGCCCAGGCTCCTCTCACAGTGCACTTCCCTCTCAGGCTGAATGGTCTTTTCTGTCAATACACATGATCTCATTTTCTTTGCAAGACAGAATTGAAGATTTCCAAGAGGAGAATTTATTTCTTTATGGCTGACAAGGTATCTTTCTTTGCCCTTTTACTGAACCTAGGCTTCCTCTATGCCAGTCTCTTCTGAGAAGCCCATAAAACTCCTTAGTAGACACATTCTGTGCCCCTCTTCCCAATCACCTCTGTACAACGGCAAACCCTCCACTCTTAAGAGCTTCAGAAAGCTACTTCATCTCCCAGTAGCTTCTCTCTTCCTTTTAACATGATGGAAAAGCTCCATGGAAAAGCCATATCATCACTGCCCCAGCATCACCACTGCCCCAGCATCACCACTGCCCCAGCATCACCACTGCCCCAGCATCACCACTGCCCCAGCATCACCACTGCCCCAGCATCACCACTGCCCCAGCATCACCACTGCCCCAGCATCACCACTGCCCCAGCATCACCACTG